GGTTCTTACACACTTTTCACTATTTTCAGGTCACAACGCGTCGCTTCTAGATGACGTTTTAGCATTGACATAATAATTTAAAAGATTCATGTTATGGTATCTCGACAAAAACTTTTATGTTAGTTGACGTATATCGAATGCAACCAATCACTTTTCATATTTTTGAACTTGGGACACTGACAAGTATATTGGGCTTAAAAAATATTAAAGAAATTTTTTTGTCATAACATCTAATAAAAAGATTATATTGTTGTTGCAAGTAATATTTTGTTTTATATATTTTTTTGTTTGTATATTTTTATGAATTTTATAGTAAAAAATAAAAAAATAAAAATCTTCAATAACAGTCCTAAATTTTGATAAAAATTTATTTTTTAAATCATTAAATTGTGCCCTCATTGAAAAAATTTTCTGGCTCCGCTCTTGAATAGGACATAAAAATCTTCAATATCAGTCCTAAATTTTGATAAGAATTTATTTTTTAAATCATTAAATTGTGCCCTCATCGAAAAAATTTTCTGGCTCCGCTCTTGAATAGGACATATCAGCTTTTTGTTGGTATTATTTTTTATTTGTTTTGTATGAACAGATTTTGAATAACTTATTTGAAAGCTAACTTTTTAATCAATAAATTTAGTTATAAGGTTTTCAGTTTTATCTTCTAAAAGAATTTACCACCTTTGATTACTATAATGGCCTTTTAGTCTTCGGGATTTGTAATTGCTTTGGGAGAATGGGGCACAAGGGGATTCCATGGGCGAGCAATGCTGGCTTAGGAAGGGATGCATCGGTTGCAGCTCCAATGAATGTAGCACGGAGCAAGAGGCTGATGCTACGGTTAGTGATATGACTGACTGGGCTATGAGCAAGCAAAGAAGATCTCTCTCTTGAGGCAGTAATGTTGGATTGACACAAGACCTCAAATATATGTAATTTTTAAATTTTTCTGGCAAAAAAAAATTTTTGGTAGCTTCGTCAACATATGCTCATAACCATAAATCTATTATTGAAGGTTATTCCTTTGATCTCAATGTCACTTTGAACTGTCAACGATGAAGATTTCACAGTTGTTGTGACATATTCGATTGGAAGGGAGAAGGAAGAAAAGCTGCACAAAGTTTACAAATAATAATGAAAAAAGAATTAAAAAAAATATTTGATTACTATTCAGAGTGTAAAATTTATGAGTGTCTGCATCAAAATTTTTCTGCTTGGAGATTACTTGCAGAAGAAAAAATCAAGTGAGTTCCACAACCATGAAGACCAGACTAGCTAATTAATGGTATAAGTCGCGCTAATAACTTCATCAAATTCTTCTCTCCGATAATTTGCGTGTAAGATTTATGTTTCAATTAGTTTTGAGATGGTTGGGGGAATGGAAGTACTTGATCAAGCTTTTATGGTTTCATTATTTTGTGGATACTAACATTTAGTCTGTCAGTGCCAAGTCACCATATACTGTAACGGCTAAAGAATTTGATTAACAATCATAGGTTGTATTCTCTTAGGCTTCTCAAGCAGATCAGGGGAATGTATTTGGGTTTTACTTCTTATTGGTTTTGGTTGATTTTACGGCTCAAGGCAGGCCTGTCGGTGAGATTTATTTTGTTTGATATGTTTGCTAGTTTTGTGTTGGCCTGGTGATATGGTTTTGAAATGTGGGTTATATCAATTGGAAGGGTTGTTGATCGGATAGCTCTAGCAACTCTTTTTATATTGATTAAGACAAACAAATTGGGGTTTATCACCTTAAGAAATCATGCATAAATGTTTTTTACAGTTGGTATTTAAAAATGAGAATTTTTTATGAATTTATTAGCACAAATTATACAATTAATTAGCTTGGTTGGCATTATTGGTCCTGGCAATCGATGTTTCCTTAAAATAATATTTTAAGGGTCCCTAAAGTTCAATCCAAACAAAAAAAAAATTCCAAGTGGGTTGAGAAGCATAATAATGTGTTTATTATTGACTTTGCATATGGAATTTTTTATAAATATCGACATATGAATTCTTTGTGATATTTCCATGTCTCAGACTCTTCTTGAGCTCTAGTTTTGATACATAATTTAGTAGCATTTTTCGCTATTATTAGAAACAAAACTAAAATTTATTTCTAATTCTAATTTCTTGAAGTGTTTGAGATTATGTTGTTTCAATGATTTTGAGAATCGTTATTATTGTTATTATATGTTTTGTAATTCAACATCATATTTATGTGAATAGGAAGGTAGTTATTTTCATTAATAAGGCTAGTTAAGAGGTGTTAATTTTCATTCTCTAAGAGAAGCCATTACCATTTGTATGATTTTAGTTTGGACGATCTGATAATCTGATTGGTGATCACACTTGATTTTTTTTTTTTAAGTAATATTTTAATTGTGTTACCATTTGTATGATTTTAGTTTGGACGGTCTGATAATCTGATTGGTGATCACACTTACTTGATTTTTTTTTTTTAAGTAATATTTTAATTGTTCCTACGAAGGCGTGGGGATTCTAAAATACTTATTTGTCGGGAAAGTGACACAGCTAAAGAAAGATATTTTTATTTCTCGAAAGTAGTATTTTCTTAATCCATTTCAAGAAATAAGAAATCTTGGATGCAAACTCCCATAAATTCGAATTGATTCAGTAAAGAAAATTGGGATCACCACTAAGGACACATTCGTTGATAAAGGTTGACATTGGCATTTTTTTGTGCAACCCCTTTTCTATCTCTTTATTACCAAGATATTTGATTTTGCTAGCGTTGTAAGCCGATTTTCGGACAATCTTATTGAAGTCTATATGGAAGCCGGTGGCAGCTTTTTATGGCACACCTCAAAATGACTCGAGGAAAATGCAAATTTATCCCACAAATCTCTCCAAATTTTCATAGATCATTGATTGGGTTGGGGATGCTTTAGATTGGAGATTCACTTCTGGCTATTGCAATTTTGTATGGGAAAACTTGGTTGCTTGGAGAAGTAAATGTGGCCTCAAGAGGCAATGTTGAAGTTGAATACATAGTAGAATTAGAATTAAACTACAATTGTATGGAAAAGCAGTAGCATCAGCTTGGTGTTTGTGAAGGAATACGGGCAAAATATCTTAGAATTAGACAAAAAACAACAACATATTTTTCTCCATTGCGTTCTATCCAGTGTCATATTTTCATTTAATTCTAATAAATTAAGATCATTTTTTATACAATATGCCCAAGTCGTCCTAGGTCTATCTTTGTCTTTCTTAACATAAGTCGAATCTAAACATCTACTCTTCTAATCGAATTATGAGAATCATCAGATGGTGGTCATCAGACGGTCTACATTTAATGTAACCAAACCATTTGATGACTCCTCTAATCTTGTCTGCCACTGACGTTACACCAACCATATCACAGATATATTCAATTCACATTTTGTCTCTAAGTGCAAAACTTAACTTAGTTTTATGCTTCTCTTTTAAAGGCCAACATTTAGCGCCATATAGCATTGCAAATATTACCACCATCTTATAAAATTTTTCTTTCAGATTAAGTGGTACTTTTCTATCACAGAATAGGCCTGAAGCATTCCTCCACTTCAACCAAGTTGAATTCTACTAATAACATCGCCATCAATATGACCATCACTTTGAACAATAGCCCCGAGATATCTAAAGCGTTCACACCTTTTGATAATTTGATCACCCAAAGTTACATTTCTGTCACTATTAAAAAAATTTCTTAAATCTGTACTTTGAAAACCAAGCTGTCATGAGTATTATGAAACATACCATCCATCTTGGCAGGACCGAACTAGACCGATATTTCATCTTTAAAAAGTTTAAAAATGGAATAACCCAACTAATATATGTTCTAACAAACTCTCAAATTAGAGTTTTCCTTACATAGGCTTTACTTAGGCTTTTTGATAATGTAATCAACAATTTCGATATGATCTAAATAAACAACCTTGCTTTAGAGAAAATGTTCAAAGAATTCTGAATCCATGGCTTGCTCTTATCCATCTATAGCAACCCAATTATTCATGGACAACTGCTTTTTACTGATAAAATCTATAGTCTGTGGACAACAACATTCTATTTCAGCTATGTTGTGAATTTTTTATTCTAAAATTAAAAACTAGTTTATTTATTTATTTATTTTTATCTCGGTAGTTATTTCTATGCCTATTTATGTACTATTATTTTGTTTTGCCTCAGTGCAAGAGAAAAAAAATGTAATAACAAAATCTTTTTTTTTCAACTCTCCTTTTTCTCATTTTAATTTTAGATCTTTTGAATGGATTTGATTGTGCAAGCAGTGATTTCCCCCCCCCCCCAAAAGCTTAGGCTCACCATTCAATCAAATCTTATAAACTTACACTTATGATCCATGCTAAATGGTTTTGATCAAGTAATTTACTAGTAAATGCTGAAGTTATTTACCTTGTTTCCATTTCATAGTAAATCTTCATTTTAGTACACGCCTAACAAACGTTTTGTATAGTCCTAAGCAGAAGCAAGCTCGAAGTAGTTTCATGATACAGATGAAAATGAATAATGTGTTACTGTGCTGGAAATTTACTGCCCGTAGTGCAAAAGAATCATCCATGAGTGACACTTGCTTGATTATGTGATTATAAAATGGAAGATTTAGATGTATATAATTCAATTCTTATGCATTTTCATATCTAACTTGTATACTTCAATTTTTACATATATATGCCACATTTTCTATGCCTGAAAATGTATGTTTCACTTTTTAAAAGTTATAGTAGTATTATTTTTGATTTGTTATGAAAGATTTAGGTGTTATAACTGTAAAAATTAAAGTTTAGGTGTTAGATATGTAAATACATAGGAATTGGGTGGTATGTATGTTGACGCCCCTTATAAAATTTGATTTCAGCCCATCCATCCTTGTGAATCACCTATGATTATAAGCATTCTTTTTGAGACGAATATGTTGAACAAAAGTTCCCATTCCAGCTTACTTTTTTTTTTCTTTTAATATGGATGCAACATAACTGCAGATGAGATCAAACCATCGAACGTCGGTCTCGAACAAGAGGCTCAACTCGTTCGAACTTGGAAAGGGCCAAATTCTTCAAATGGGAAAAAGAGCTCTAATGGGAGCAACGATTATTCGTCTTCGATAAAATACTTGCATATACACGAATGCGATTGCTTCTCCGTAAGTTTTATGATATCTTTTGATTTCTTATGCTGTTGTCTAAGAAAATATTTTGATCTAAGCCACATTTTGATTTCTTTCTAAACATTTTGTAGATTGGAATATTTTGTATGCCTCCTTCATCTGTAATACCCCTCCATAATCATCCAGGGATGACCGTGTTAAGCAAGCTTCTTTATGGCACTTTACACGGGACATCGTACGACTGGATTGATATTGGTGGAGCCTTTGATCCAACCAAACGTGAGTTTCCCTTCTTATCTGCAACTTTATTTTAGATGTGCAGGTTATGCAGATATTTGTTGTTGAAACTGTAATTCTGGCTTTAAATTGTAGCACTCATAAATACCTGAGTTCTATGGTTGAAAAACACACCCTAGCTGATTATTTTGTAAATAACAATATAACTATCCCTCCC